GTGCGAGAATTTTTTCCTCAGGGGATTTTTTTTTGTCCAGGAAAAAATTGGTGTTTTTACCCCTCCATCGGAATGCTTGACAATGCGCCAAATGGAAATTGACTTGTAGTTGATGTCATAAATGTATACAAATATTTTTTCTACTGGGAAAACCCGCCCAACCTCTAACCACCACCCTGTGGGACAATGGCGCCCAACCTCCACTCTGTAAAAATTGCATGCATTTTTTTTAGAGGACATGTAGAGTCATTGAGTCATCATAGGGTATACAAGAAAAAAAGAAATTGTTGTGACATTCATTGGCATGATCATTCATGCAGTGCTTGATTATTGGCAATTTCCCTTTAACAGCAAATTTATGGCATTAATATACACACAGAACGATATACAAAAATACATACATATGAATTTGTATGTGTATGTATGTGTGTGTGTTCGATGCCAGGCATTTTGACATCCACTATCTGACGAGTGTGGTACATAGGTACAAATAAATATATCGTGCATTTTTTGACGTCTTGATTGCAGTTGTTGTTAAATGCAATTGGCAGGACATTGTGCAGCAGTTACATGTCAAAACAGAGGCATTTATGACTTCGCCTAATGGTAGACCCTTAAAATCATATTTAAAAAATCCACGCCTAATGGTAGACCCCAAAAATCATATTTAAAAAATCCACGCCTAGGGCTAGACCCCTAAAATCATATTTAAAAAATCCACGCATAATGGTAGACCCTTAATATTTAAAAAATCCACGCCTAATGGTAGACCCTTAAAATCATATTTAAAAAATCCACGCCTAATGGTAGACCCTTAAAATCATATTTAAAAAATCCACGCCTAAGGCTAGACCCTTAAAAACATATTTAAAAAATCCACGCCTAATGGTAGACCCTTAAAATGATATTTAAAAAATCCACGCCTAATGGTGGACCCTTAAAATGATATTTAAAAAATCCACGCCTAATGGTAGACCCTTAAAATCATATTTAAACCAGTAAGGAAAGTAGTAAAGTCGGACGGGGCCGACTATATGATACCCTTCACCACTATGGGTATATTAAACAGGACTATTAACATGAAATTCGATGAAATAATATATGTGATATTTATCCAAATGTGAATCGACCTAGATGTGAATCTGACTAACATGAGGAGTTTGATGCGAAAATATATATGGAAGCTCCATCCAAATATTAAGCGATTTCAAGCAAACTTGTCACAGGTTAGGTTATACCAATTTCAGAACGTTTTGTTCCTATTGGTTCCTTGGTGCGTCAATTACTTAAAATATGTGAGCTATATATGTGCGAGCTATATAGAAATCTGGACCAATTTTCTCGAAACTTGGCACATATCACTCTAGGCCCAATTCAGTACGTTATGCCAAATTTCGTGCACATCAAAAGATATATAGGGACTTTGGGGCACCATTACATTAAATCGGACAAAACTATATATGGAAGCAATATCTAAATCTGGACCGATTTTCTCGAAACTGGGCAGACATTACTCTAGGCTTAATTCAGTACGTTATGCAAAGTTTCGTGCAAATCAAAAGATATATAGGGACTTTGGTGTACCATTTACATGAAATCGGACGAAACTATATATGGGAGCTATATCTAAATCTGGACCGAATTTCTCGAAACTTGGCAGACATCACTCTAGGCTTAATTCAGTACGTTATGCCAAATTTCGTGCACATCAAAAGATATATAGGGACTTTGGGGCACCATTACATTAAATCGGACGAAACTATATATGGGAGCTATATCTAAATCTGGACCGATTTTCTCGAAACTTGGCAGACATCATTCTAGGCTCAATTCAGTACGTTATGCCAAATTTCGTGCAAATCGAGAGATATATAGGGACTTTGGGGCACCATTTACATGAAATCGGACGAAACTATATATGGGAGCTCTATCTAAATCTGGACCGATTTTCTCGAAACTTGGCAGACATCACTCTAGGCTTAATTCAGTACGTTATGCCAAATTTCGTGCAAATCGAAAGATATATAGGGACTTTGGGCACCATTTACATGAAATCGGACGAAACTATATATGGGAGCTATATCTAAATCTGGACCGATTTTCACGAAACTTGGCAGACATCATTCTAGACCTAAATGATTAGGCTGTACCAACTGGGTACTGGGCAGACATCACTCTAGGCTTAATTTAGTACGTTATGCCAAATTTCGTGCAAATCAGAAGATATATAGGGACTTTGGGGCACCATTACATTAAATCGGACGAAACTATATATGGGAGCTATATCTAAATCTGGACCGATTTTCTCGAAACTGGACAGACATTATTCTAGGCTTAATTCAGTACGTTATGCCAAATTTCGTGCAAATCGAGAGATATATAGGGACTTTGGTGTACCATTTACATGAAATCGGACGAAACTATATATGGGAGCTATATCTAAATCTGGACCGATTTTCTCGAAACTTGGCATACAGCATTCTAGGCTCAATTCAGTACGTTATGCCAAATTTTGTGCAAATCGAAAGATATATAGGGACTTTGGTGCACCATTTACATGAAATCGGACGAAACTATATATGGGAGCTATATCTAAATCTGGACCGATTTTCTCGAAACTTGGCAGACATCACTCTAGGCTTAATTCAGTACGTTATGCCAAATTTCGTGCAAATCAAAAGATATATAGGGACTTTGGGGCACCATTACATGAAATCGGACGAAACTATATATGGGAGCTATATCTAAATCTGGACCGATTTTCTCGAAACTTGGCAGACATCATTCTAGGCTCAATTCAGTACGTTATGCCAAATTTTGTGCAAATCGAAACATATATAGGGACTTTGGGGCACCATTTACATGAAATCGGGCGAAACTATATATGGGAGCTATATCTAAATCTGGACCGATTTTCTCGAAACTTGGCAGACATCACTCTAGGCTTAATTCAGTACGTTATGCCAAATTTCGTGCAAATCGAAAGATATATAGGGACTTTGGGGCACCATTTACATGAAATCGGACGAAACTATATATGGGAGCTATATCTAAATCAGAACCGATTTTCACGAAACTTGGCAGACATCATTCTAGATCTAAATGATTAGGCTGTACCAAATTTCGTGCAAATCGAAAGATATATAGGGGCCATTTACATTAAATCGGTTAAATATATATATGGGAGCTATATCTAAATCTGAACCGATTTTTCCCAATTTCAATAGGGTTCGTCCTTGGGCCGAATAAGTGACCTATGCCAAATTTCATCCCATTCGGATCATAAATGCGACCTGTACTTTGTTTACAATTTAACATCTACAGACGGACAGACGGACAGACGGACGGACGGACATGCATAAATCGATTTAGAAAGTGATTCTATGCATATTCTCAAAAGGAACCATGTGTCTATCTCGTTTCCTTTTGCCTGTTACAAACATATGCACAAAGACATAATACCCTGTACCACAGAGTGAAGGGTATAAAAATCCACGCCTAATGGTAGACCCTTAAAATGATATTTAAAAAATCCACGCCTAATGGTAGACCCTTAAAATCATATTTAAAAAATCCACGCCTAATGGTAGATCCTTAAAATCATATTTAAAAAATCCACGCCTAATGGTAGATCCTTAAAATCATATTTAAAAAATCCACGCCTAAGGCTAGACCCTTAAAAACATATTTAAAAAATCCACGCCTAAGGCTAGACCCTTAAAATGATATTTAAAAAATCCACGCCTAATGGTAGACCCTTAAAATGATATTTAAAAAATCCACGCCTAATGGTAGACCCTTAAAATGATATTTAAAAAATCCACGCCTAATGGTAGACCCTTAAAATCATATTTAAAAAATCCACGCCTAATGGTAGACCCTTAAAATGATATTTAAAAAATCCACGCCTAATGGTAGACCCTTAAAATCATATTTAAAAAATCCACGCCTAATGGTAGATCCTTAAAATCATATTTAAAAAATCCACCACGCCTAATGTTAGCCCTTAAAAAATATTTAAAAAATCCACGCCTAATGGTAGACCCTTAAAAATGATATTTAAAAAATCCACGCCTAATGGTAGACCCTTAAAATGATATTTAAAAAATCCACGCCTAATGGTAGACCCTTAAAATCATATTTAAAAAATCCACGCCTAATGGTAGACCCTTAAAATCATATTTAAAAAATCCACGCCTAATGGTAGACCCTTAAAATCATATTTAAAAAATCCACGCCTAATGGTAGACCCTTAAAATGATATTTAAAAAATCCACGCCTAATGGTAGACCCTTAAAATCATATTTAAAAAATCCACGCCTAATGGTAGACCCTTAAAATCATATTTAAAAAATCCACGCCTAAGGCTAGACCCTTAAAAACATATTTAAAAAATCCACGCCTAAGGCTAGACCTTAAAAACATATTTAAAAAATCCACGCCTAATGGTAGACCCTTAAAATGATATTTAAAAAATCCACGCCTAATGGTAGACCCTTAAAATGATATTTAAAAAATCCACGCCTAATGGTAGACCCTTAAAATCATATTTAAAAAATCCACGCCTAATGGTAGAACCTTAAAATCATATTTAAAAAATCCACGCCTAATGGTAGAACCTTAAAATCATATTTAAAAAATCCACGCCTAATGGTAGACCCTTGAAATCATATTTAAAAAATCCACTCGTAATTGTAGACCCTTAAAATCATATTTAAAAAATCCACGCCTAATGGTAGACCCTTAAAATCATATTTAAAAAATCCACGCCTAATGGTAGACCCTTAAAATCATATTTAAAAAATCCACGCCTAATGGTAGACCCTTAAAATCATATTTAAAAAATCCAAGCCTAATGGTAGACCCTTAAAATCATATTTAAAAAATCCACGCCTAATGGTAGACCCTTAAAATCATATTTAAAAAATCCACGCCTAAGGCTAGACCCCAAAAAATAATTTTTAAATTGGTATTTAAATTTTCGATGCTTCAATACTTACACGAACCAAATTTCAATGGACATTTCTGTATGTCCATGGGAAAATCCTCCAAATTCATTGGACATCCCGCCTTTATGGTCAACCTGAAGAGAGACAAAAGATGAAAAAAAAATCAGATAACAAATTACCGATAATCTGTAATGAGAATTTGTTCTGCAAATATTTGCAGGATTTTAAAAATTGAAGGTAAACACATTTAAGAGCCTGTGGAGGACGATGGTCGAAGTAAAAAAAATCGCTATCTCACCTGCTCGAATACAACACCCTGCCATTCTGATGGATACGCACGAATTTATTCGGTGTCGTTATGGTGTGTAAATAGCTCTGTTTACCATTATAGAAATAAGTATCCGGTTTCCAGATACGTGCCAGCATTGATACACTCAGCGCCAGGGTGGCTTGGGCTCCTTTGAATGCCAGACGTTTGTCCACCCACGATTGGCGGAAATAACAATCCATGGAGTAGGTCTATGAAGGGGAGGGAGAGAAGGAAATTATTACAAATTATCACAGATTATTTGTCAAAGTTTGTGATTCGGAATTTTGGTTTTGGATGACTAGCAGTAGGAAAATTAATTACCATATCCACTTCAGAAATTGGACCCATACTGCGTACCATAATATCCACTTCAACGGTGGCAGGGGGACCTGTAAAGAGAGGACAACACTTATTTAATGAATTAAAATAAATTTTAAAGAAATATTTACTAGAAAAATCGATACGAATTAAATACAAAGGGAACAGGTGGCGTATTAGTATTATTAATAGGAAAAAATCATAGCATACTTTGGGGAGTCCGAAATAGAAAATAAAATTATAATCTTTAAGATGTGGAATTAAAATTAAAAAGGGATGGACCCCAAAAATAATTTTTAAAAAATCTACCAAAAATAGTAAAGTCGGTTGGGGCCGACTATATGATACCCTCCACCACTATGGGTATACTCAACAGATGAATCCTAACAGACGTCGTCGCATTTTTAAAGGGCCAGTGAAATGAAATTGGATCCATGTCACATGTCATTCTGCAACCGATACTAAATTTTACATTTGGTCCAATAATTTGGTTATCTAGATCTGAACCGATTTTCAGGAAACTTATCACACTTCATTCTAGACCTAATTCATTACGCTGTGCCAAATTTCGTGCAAATCGAAAGATATATAGGGACTTTGGTGGACCATTTACATTAAATCGGACGAAAATATATATGGAAGCTATATCGAAATCTGAACCGATTTTCAGAAAACTTAACATACATAGTTCTAGACTTAATTTAGTACGCTATGCCAAATTTCCTGAAAATCGAAAGATATATAGGGACTTTGATGGACCATTTACTTTAAATCGGACGAAAATATATATGGGAGCTATATCTAAATCTTTTAAAAAACATCACGCCTAAGGATAGGCCTCTAAAAATGCCTTTTAAAAAATCCACCCCTGTAAATAGACCCCAATTTTTTTTTTAAAATCCACGCCTAAAATCCACCCCTGTAAATATACCCCAATTTTTTTTTAAAAAATCCACGCCTAAGGATAGGCCCCTAAAAATGCCTTTTAAAAAATCCACGCCTAAGGATAGGCCCTTAAAAATGCCTTTTAAAAAATCCACGCCTAAGGATAGGCCCCTAAAAATGCCTTTTAAAAAATCCACGCCTAAGGATAGACCCCTAAAAATGCCTTTTAAAAAATCCACGCCTAAGGAAGGGCCCCTAAAAATGCCTTTTAAAAAATCCACGCCTAAGGAAGGGCCCCTAAAAATGCCTTTTAAAAAATCCACGCCTAAGGAAGGGCCCCTAAAAATGCCTTTTAAAAAATCCACGCCTAAGGATAGGCCTCTAAAAATGCTTTTTAAAAATTCCACGCCTAAGGATAGGCCCCTAAAAATGACTTCTAAAAAATCCACGCCTAAGGATAGGCCTCTAAAATGCTTTTTAAAAATTCCACGCCTTAGGATAGGCCTCTAAAAATCCACGCATAAGGATAGGCCCCTAAAAATGCCTTTTAAAAAATCCACGCCTAAGGATAGACCTCTAAAAATGCCTTTTAAAAAATCCACGCCTAAGGATAGACCCGGAAAATAATTTTTAATTTTTTTTTAAGTCGTATCCTTAAGAAATATTTTTTTTAAATCCATAATCTTTGTATATCCACCCAATTTACTTAATTCATCTCGGAGCCTAAAAGTATGCTTTGAACATATGCTAATATCCGTTTTTATCACTTTGAACGGAAATAGTCAAACACTGGGATAATAAAAACTAATTTTTTATACAACAAAAAACCTCAACTAATACCCCCAACACCAACCTCCTTCATCCCGCTATCTTGCCATTAGGCTGCCTTTCAGTTCCGCTGCCTGGCTTATTTTGTAATCTTCGGTCTTTTCGCCTTCGCTGTTTTTCTGTTCGTTCCGCTGATAGGCAATTGCATTGAAAGTCTCTCTGCATTAATGGCGTAATGAAGTGTTTAACAACGTCATGTAATTTATGTGCGTATGTTTGTCTGGCTGTCTGTCTGTTGGTCGGATTGCCTATCTGTCTGTCTGTCTGCCTCTCTGAGGACTGGAAACTAAACGACGCCAAAGAAGACCTCCAATATGAATGAATGCTTGGATCAAAAAATATAAGTTGAGAACAGAGAACGGAATTACTAATAGCTTGTTAGTGTGTGAGAATATGTGTGTGTGTGTTTGCATTCAAGTACATTCATGTTTTTTTCTGAAATCAGTCCCACCGCTACAATTACCCCCGCCATTAAAAGGGAAATGATTCCTTTTGAAAGTGGCAGAAGAGCAGCACACAAGAAAAAAATTATCATTTCAAAAGCGAACACAAAAAAAAAAATTGCAGGCAAGTCAAGTGAGACGAGAAAAAAAATCGGAAAATGAATTTCAAAAATTAAATTAATTTCAGTTCAGGCAGAGAAAGAGAAGAAGAAGAATACAACTTTTATAATGGCCTATCAAATAAATGCATTTATTTTTAATATTTACTGAGATTAAAAGGATTTCCCGATTCAAAAAGGCAAAGCAAAGGCCTAAAAGTATGCAACATAAAAGAAAAAAATCAAAATAAAGTTTTAGTGGTCTATTCTTAGGCGCACATTTTTTAAAAATGATTTTTAAAGGTCTATCCTCATGTGCGGATTTTTTAAACATTATTTTAGGGGTCTATCCTGAGGCGTGGATTTTTTAAAAATTATTTTTAGGGGTCTATCCTTAGGCGTGGATTTTTTAAATATGATTTTTGGGGTCTATCCTAAGGCTTGGATTTTTTAAACATTATTTTAGGGTCTATCCATAGGCGTGGATTTTTTAAATATGATTTTTGGGGTCTATTCTTAGGCGTGGATTTTTTAAACATTATTTTTAGGGTCTATCCTTAGGCGTGGATTTTTAAGAATGATTTTTAAGGGTCTATCCTCAGGTGGGGATTTCTTAAACATTATTTTTAGAGTCTATCCTTAGGCGTGGATTTTTAAGAATGATTTTTAAGGGTCTATCCTCAGCTGGGGATTTCTTAAACATTATTTTTAGAGTCTATCCTTAGGCGTGGATTTTTAAGAATGATTTTTAAGGGTCTATCCTCAGGTGGGGATTTTTTAAACATTATTTTTAGGGTCTATCCTTAGGCGTGGATTTTTTAAAAGGCATTTTCAGGGGCCTATCCTTAGGCGTGGATTTTTTAAATATTATTTTAGGGGTCTATCCTAAGGCGTGGATTTTTTAAAAGGCATTTTTTGGGGTCTAGCCTTAGGCGTGGATTTTTTAAATATTAATTTTGGGGTCTACCATTAGGCGTGGATTTTTTAAATATTAATTTTGGGGTCTACCATTAGGCGTGGATTTTTTAAATATTAATTTTGGTGTCTACCATTAGGCGTGGATTTTTTAAATATTAATTTTGGGATTTTTTAAAAGGCATTTTTAGGGGCCTATCCTTAGGCGTGGATTTTTTAAAAGGCATTTTAGGGGCCTATCCTTAGGCGTGGATTTTTTAAAAGGCATTTTTAGGGGCCTATCCTTAGGCGTGGATTTTTTAAAAGCCATTTTTAGGGGCCTATCCTTAGGCGTGGATTTTTTAAAAGGCATTTTTAGGGGCCTATCCTTAGGCGTGGATTTTTTAAAAGGCATTTTTAGGGGCCTATCCTTAGGCGTGGATTTTTTAAAAGCCATTTTTAGGGGCCTATCCTTAGGCGTGGATTTTTTAAAAGCCATTTTTAGGGGCCTATCCTTAGGCGTGGATTTTTTAAAAGCCATTTTTAGGGGCCTATCCTTAGGCGTGGATTTTTTAAAAGGCATTTTTAGGGGCCTATCCTTAGGCGTGGATTTTTTAAAAGGCATTTTTAGGGGCCTATCCTTAGGCGTGGATTTTTTAAAAATTATTTTGCGGTCTATTTACAGGGGGTCTATCTTTGCACATATGTTTGTAACACGCAAAGGGAAACAAGATAGTTTCTTTTGAGTATATGCATAGAATCACTTTCTAAGTCGATTTACGCATGTCCGTCTGTCCGTCCATGTATTTTTGTGTACAAAGAACAGGTCGCATTTATGATCCGATTTGGATGAAATTTGGCATAGGTCACTTATTTGGCCCAAGGACGAACCCTATTTAAATTGGGAAAAATCGGTTCAGATTTCGATATAGCTTCCATATATATTTTCGTCCGATTTAAGGTAAATGGTGTACCAAAGTCCCTATATATCATTCGATTTGCACGAAATTTGGCACAGCGTAATGAATTAGGCCCAGAATGATGTGTGTTAAGTTTCCTGAAAATCGGTTAAGATTTAGATATAGCTCTTATATATATTTCCGACCGATTTAGGGTAAGTGGTCAACCAAAGTCCCTATATATCTTTCGATTTGCATGAAATTTGGCACAGTGTACTGAATAAAGTCTATAATGATGTGTGTTAAGTATCCTGAAAATCGTTTCAGATTTTGATATAGCTTCTATATCGGACCAAATGAAAAATTTAGTATCGGTTGCAGAATGACATGTTTATGTTTATTTTTGGGAATTTTTAAAATCTTTCAAGTTTTCTTACCTCCAAAATCCGGTCGTATACTGTTGTCATAACCCCTCAATAGATTATCCAATAATTCCGATATGTTAGCATGATTGTTACGCTGTGTTAGTCGGATGTGTGAACCGGCTTCCACCAAGGTTAATTTTGTGGTCGTTAGGCCATACCACAACAAGCCGTACAGCGCTATGAGCCATGTTAACTTTAGAGGACCAAATGACCTGCCACAGCAAATGTTTTTGATCGTAACATGGAGCGACGATGATGATGATGACGACGAAGTTAACATTCGTTTCAGATTTATCAGCGACACTATTGTCGGTGGCATCATTGCCAACAACATCAGCAGTAGCATCATCGTTGACGATGGCATGGCCAGGACGAGTAGTAACAGCAGCATCAACATTATGGTCATTATTATGGCTGAGGACATGTGGTGGTGCGGGTGGTGAAGGGTGTAGAAGCGTCCTGGAGGTGGAGGTGTTGTTTGTCAAACAGCCAGTAATGTTGATGGTGGCGGAGTTGTTGTTGTTGTTTTTGGAGTCAGCTTAAGTTTCCGTTGCTGGCGTTTATTAGTTTTTCGCTTGCAGTGCCTGGCCTCACCCTTCCCTAACTTTGTCCTGGCTTAGAAGGATTCCAGAGTGTTTGGCTAAAAGGAAGAATCTGTTGTTGACAAGTTTTAGGCTTTAGTTGTTGACTTTGTTTTTAGTTTTTTCACTTCACATTGTTTTTGTTGTTGTTGTTTTGCACATTGAATTTACACTTGGTTTGTTAACCGTCTGTTGTGTGGGTTCCGATTCGGTTGGTTGTCATGGATTTTTATGCAGATTTTGTTTTACTTAAAATCTTTTATCGGCTTGGTTTGTTGGATCCAAAGGAGATAAGAAGAGAGGATAAAGAAAGCAAAAATTAAAAAAAAATAAATTTTTAAGCCAATCCGCAAGGCGTGGATATAGCTCCCATATATAGTTTCGTCCGATTTTCGGTAAATAGGCTACTAAAGTCCCTATACATCTTTCGATTTGCACGAAATTTGGCATAGCGTAATGAATTGAGCCTAGAATAATGTCTACTAAGTTTTGTGAAAATCGGTCCACATTTAGATATAGCTCCCATATATATTTTCGTTCGATTTTAGGTAAATGGTGCACCAAAGTCCCTATATATCTTTCGATTAGCACGAAATTTGGCACAGCCTAATGAATTGGGTCTAGAACGATGTGTGTTAAGTTTCCTGAAAATCGGTTCAGATTTAGATATAGTTGCCATATATAGTTTCGTCCGATTTTTTGTAAATGGTGCACCAAAGTCCCTAAATATCTTTCGATTTGCACGAAATTTGGCACAGCCTAATGAATTGGGTCTAGAACGATGTGTGTTAAATTTCGTCAAAATCGGTTCAGATTTAGATATAGCTCCCATATATATATTCGTCCGATTTTATGTAAATGGTGCACCAAAGTCCCTAAATATCTTTCGATTTGCACGAAATTTGGCATAACGTACTGAATTGAGCATAGAATGATGTCTGCCAAGTTTCGTGAAAATCGGTTCAGACTTAGACATAGCTCCCATATATAGTTTTGTCCGATTTTATGTAAATGGTGCACCAAAGACAGTATATATCTTTCGATTTGCACGAAATTTGGCAACATGTGCTAAATTGAGGCTACAATGATGTCTGCCAAGTTTCATGAAAATCGGTTCAGATTTAGATATAGCTCCCATATATAGTTTCGTCCGATTTAAGATAAATGATGTACCAAAGCCCCTAAATATCTTTCGATTTGCATGAAATTTGGCATAGTGTAGTGAATGGAGCCTGGAATAATGTCTACTAAGTTTTGTGAAAATCGGTCCACATTTAGATATAGGTCCCATATATAGTTTCGTCCGATTTTATGTAAATGGTCCACCAATGTCCCTATATATCTATCGATTTGCACGAAATTTGGCACAGAGTAATGAATTCAGCCAATAGTGATCTCTGCCAATTTTCGTGAAAATCGGTCGAGATTTAGATATAGCTCCCATATATATTTTCGTCCGATTTAAGGTAAATGGTGTACCAAAGTCCCTATATATCTTTCGACTTGCACGAAATTTGGCATAGCGTACTGAATTAAGTCTAGAACGATGTGTATTAAATTTTGTGAAAATCGGTTCAGATTTGGATATAGCTCCCATATATATTTTCGTCCGATTTTATGCAAATGGTGCGCCAAAGTCCCTATATATCTTTCGATTTAAACGAAATTTGGCATCATGTGCTGAATTGGGGCTATAGTGATGCCTGCCATGTTTCGTGAAAATCGGTCCAGATTTAGATATAGCTCCCATATATATTTTCGTCCGATTTTATCACCAAAAATTGCACCAAAAGGCGTTCGGTGAGGTAAGATGGGTGCAATGAGAGAAGTGGCATAGGGTGGTAGTTCACATAGACTAAAACAAATCGATTACTATTGCTCAACTGCAATGCATTGAAATTTAATAAAAATGCACTTCGTACAGCAGTCAGACACCTCACATTTTTTCCCATCCTCTGTTTTTCCTTCATATCTATCCTACCACATTCCCTCTCACCTGTTGTCCATATAACCCACCTCCACAATCATCCACTAGTACTCTATCATCTCTACTGTCTAAGTAAAGACGCGTTAACTGATATCCCTATTACCAAAATTACTTCGGGGATTTGAGACTAACTTATGGACCTGGGAGGAGGGAAGGAGTCCGAGTAATTTCCACCAAAAGAGAAAGCGAATCGAATTGGAAAATAAAATAGAAATCTAATTAAATTTGATGGCATAATTTCTTTTTTGGGGGCGGGACAGTTAATATTCGATAAATGTGTGTGCTATAGTAAATAATCGAAATAATGAGGTAATGTGAGATCATTTAATTTTTTGTGGGTAAACAAATTTGCTTGGAATCCTCATTCCTTACCAGCTGACAGTCTGAACTGCACCCTGCAACATATGCTATAATTTTATTACATTACAAAAAAAAGTAGAGGAACTTATGTGCAGGGTGCACATATGTTATGGTTTGTAGGCCTTTTTGTGTGTAAGTGGCAAATTTAAAGCATACTATTAGGCATAGATATGTTAATAGGGGAGGCAAGATAGGGTGTTTTTATCGGCCGTCGTCGTTAAGTAGGGATAAAGGTAGGCAGCCAAATGATGTGTCAGTGAGCCAACCATAGGTGGACTGAACTCAAGGACCAGCTAAAAAGCCGAGGAGGTTTTATAGAGTAGCTTAGGGCCAAGGTTGGATTTTTTAGACTAACTGAAGGCTAGAGATAGAGTCTTTGAAGGCAATCTGAGAGCCAGGCAGTCTTTAGAGACAAACTGAATGCAAGTAAGAATTTCCAGGCCAGCAAGTCTTTAGGGACGATCTGAGACCAGGTGGTATTTATAGATGACCCAACTAGTTTATTATAGGAATAGGGTCTCTGTGGACCTCGCAGCTTTTAAAGACCTACCACCGAAGTCCAGTGTGGTGGCCGAGACCAGTCGAAAGATTAGAGCCAAGGAAGGCCATAAGGACCAGGTTAAGATCAGATGACATTTAAACTAGTTTATTATAGGAATAGGGTATCTGTGGACCTGACAGCTTATAGAATATCAGAAGCCAACGGAGACTTTAGACCAGCTGAAGGCAGAGAGTCTTTGAAAGGACCAGTGAGTCTATCATAGACAGGCTGAAGACCAAGGATTATTTATAGACGAAGAACAGGATTCTTAATAGACCTATAGAAGGCCCTGTGAACCTATCATGTGGAAGTTGAAGGCCAGGGAGTCTGTATAGACCAACTGAAGCCACGAGAGAGTCTTATGGGCCCACTGAAGGCCATGGTGTCTTTATAAAAATAGTTTCCTATAGACCGGCTAAAGGACCAAAGCGTTTTAACTGAAGAACTGAGGACTAAGGAGACTTTATAGACTAGCTGAAGGCCAGGGCGTCATAAAGAACCTGCTAGATGCTAGGCCTGAAGTCTTAATTAACGAACTTAAGTTCCGGTAGTATTTATAGGGAGCCTTTAGAGATCAGTTCGAGGACAGAGAGTCTTTAAATAACCAGTAAGTCTATCATAAATAACCCGAAGGACCAGTGGGTTTATCACATACAAGCCGAGGGCCAAGGAGTCTTTATAGACGAGCTGGAGGGATAGTGTGTATAGCATAAGCGAGCTGTGGGGCCAGTGATCCTTCTGTAGACGACCTGAATGCTAGGATTCCTTTAAGGACCAGCTGAAAGTCTGGGAGTCTGAATAGACGAGCGAGAGTCTTTGTAGACGATCTAAAATTCTGGGAGTGTTTATAGTTGACCTGCATGCCCAGTGAGTTAATTATAGACGTAGGTCTGAAGGTCAGCCGAAGTAACGGGAAACGACATAGACCCACCAATTGAGGGGTAGTGAGTTTATCATAGAAAAATAAAGGCAATGTAGATTTTATAGACAGCTGAAGGACAGAGGGTCTTTTAAGGGTCACTGAGTCTTTCATAGATAACTTGATGTAACAATGGGTCTATCAAAGACCAGCTGAAGGCCTAAATAAAGGCCATGGAGATTTTATAGACCAGCTGAAAGACAGAGGGTATTTAAAGGGCCACTAAGTCTATCATAGATAAACCGAAGTACCAATGGGTCTATCAAAGGCGAGCTGAAGGCAGGAGATATTTTATAAACCAGGTGAAGGCCTAGCCTAGTATTATAAGCGAGCTCAGTGCCAGTGATTCTCCCGTAGACGATAGGGAATGCTAGGGGTGTCTTTGTAGATCTGATCTGATGGCCGAGAATCTTTATAGACTAACTGGAGTTCTGAGAGTATTTATAGGCGACCGGACTTGTAGACCAGTCGAAAGATAAGAGCCACGGAAGTCTATAAGGACCAGCTGAAGATCAGATGGTCTTTAAAGTACCAGTAGGACCAGCCGAAGAAATATCAGCCTTTATAGAACTGTTGATTGTCAGTGAGCCTATCATATCAAAGTTGAAGGCCAGGGACACTTTATTGACCTGCAAAATTTTTTTAAAAATTAAAAATCTACGCCTTGGATGTCCTTTAAAAATATTCTTTTAAAAATTAACGCCTTGGAGGTCCTTTAAAAATATTCTTTTAAAAATCAACGCCTTGGAGGTCCTTTAAAAATATTCTTTTAAAAATCCACGCCTTGGAGGTCCTTTAAAAATATTCTTTTAAAAATTAACGCCTTGGAGGTCCTTTAAAAATATTCTTTTAAAAATCAACGCCTTGGAGGTCCTTTAAAAATATTCTTTTAAAAATTAACGCCTTGGAGGTCCTTTAAAAATATTCTTTTAAAAATCCACGCCTTGGAGGTCCTTTAAAAATATTCTTTTAAAAATCCACGCCTTGGAGGTCCTTTAAAAAGTATTCTTTTAAAAAT